GTTAAAATAGTATAAAATCATCACTTTTCGTTCGTTATATGCGGGTATTTTACACAGGATATATTAAATTTACTTTGTCTTATGCTTCTGACATGGAAATTCTATAATTTCTAGATGATATCTCCTTAACTCTTTAATATTTAATTCGCAAATTAAATCCGAATCGCAGCATTATCTAAAATTGATCAGTTTTAAATATCATCCAGAAGATGAGTTTAAAGCTGTAAAGGATTTTTTGTGGGGAAATAATCAATTTAAATAAATTAAAATTATTTTAAAACGTTGTAAATATTCATGAGTATCTTCTCTTTTTCTTGTAAAAAAAAGGAAGTATAATGCTTAGAAATGATGCAGGATGAAGCGACGTTTTCAAGATGCTCCATTCCATTCAAATGGATAAAGTGTAAGGAACTCTTTAAATTTTATTTAAAATTTTACAGTTATCGAATGGCTGAGAATACAAAACTTCACCTAGGCCAGTGAACGGGATGTATACATGTTTAAAATACTACTTGGCAAACAATAAAATGACATTAAACGAGATAGGAAAGGAGGAAATCAATTTACTGTCTCCAAGTTAGAAACGAGTTGTCAAAGTAGCCAACTACTTAAAGTATTTTCCTTATTCTCTCTTCCTTCTGCTAGAAAAATATGCATTTCATTCCGCTCTTATCCAATATAACAGATTTATCCAATTTTTGAAAAGTTATTTTCCCCCTTCTCTCTCTCTTTCTCTCTCTCTCTCCTGTGTAAAGTATATAAGCCGCATCCCGGATTTTGATGCATTTTCTAACGTTAAATCTTAATTTATTAGTGTTATTTATTGTTAAAACTTTAAAACAATGGTAGCTTGAATGTTTTATTTTCTATTAATAGAGAATTTCAAGCATTTTCTAAAGGAGGAAAATAATATATTATGTTCCCAACAGAGCAAATTCAAAGTATTTGGACATGATTGTGCAAACACAATCGATAGAGAGGTAATTATGAGAAAATCGATAAAGAACTTAATTTTGGAGGATCGTAAAGAATTAATTTTGACTAGTAAAATAATCCTCCCGTCTTCGGCTCTTTAATATTTAAGGTGCGAATAATTAAAGTTTGACTACAGATAACTATAAGAAGAAGTAATGGCCTTGCAATTATTCATGCAGAATTTTTTATCCCCCCTCTGACTTTAAATTTTATTTACTTTTAAGCATTTCCAGATAATTCGAGCTGAAAAATGAGTTTAAGGACTATAAATTTTATTGTATATAAAAATTCATCTGGTAGAACTAAGGAAAATCTATCGATTTAGAGGAGATTCTTCTTTTTTTTAGGGAAATATTCGTTCATTTAGGGATTTTTTCTTGGTTTTTTTAAAGAGGATGTTTGTTTTTTTAGACGTGTACGCAGTCGTTTACATTGAGGAAATCAGTCTGAAAAATCTGTACAAAATATTTGCACAGTTTTAAACATTCTATTTATAAAACTTTATTCTCAATTTTTAATTATTCAATTATAAAAATTAATATTTTAATTTTAAATTCATTTAAAATAATAATTTCTTTAAGAGAAGGAAGCTCTAAGAGAACTCTTTAGAGAGTTGTCAAAAATATCCACGCATTTAGGGAAAAAATAGACGTTTTTTCGAATTTTCTTTATTTTAAGATAAATATTCATCTATTTTTAAGGATTTATTTCAAGTTTATTGAATTTAAATGAAATCAACTGCAAGACGAACAACAATTCCTTTATTATTTATATGTAATGTCTTGGTGGAGACATTTATAAATTTCGATATCAAACAAGAAAAATAGAATTAAAATAATTTTAAAACAAGTCTAAATGTACCTTAAAACATTAAAAAAAGCAAATTTAAAAAGGGAAAATTGTTATTTAAGTATCTGTTTGTCATATAAAACAATGATGTTGCGTCACTCACTAAAGGCTGATGTAACACGAAACTATCTCGTCCACAGAATACCCTCTTGTAAGCAATTTAAATGTAAATTAGCAGTTTTGAACTTCTTTCTTCAGTATTTAAGAAACATATTGAAGGGAAGCGAATAGAAAGATTTATCCATTCGATCAAGTTTGAACAAATTGAAACAATTTTATCTGCTTGATTAGATTTTTGAAAATTAATACCACCAATTTAAAGTTACTTTGATTGCCCTTAAGTATCACGAATTACGATTCTCTCTAGAGAATAACGCATAGATTAATATATAACAAAGCCAATAAAAATTGTAGTTACGTTAAATATTAATAATTTTAAAATAATATTCAATTTTTAATTAATAACGTGCCAATTTAAATCGTTGGCACGCTAAGGAAGAGGGGGATAGAATAGGAGGAGAAGGAGAAGATGGAGGAGGGGAAAAAATCAAAGATTTTTCTTCCTTCATTTATAAGAAGAAAAAGAATTTAGTTTTGGTGCAATAAAAGAAACTATTTCTTAGAAGGATCCATAGTCTTATTTCTAAAAAGGCACACAGAACAAAGTTCTTTTTCACACTTTTCTAACTATTGATTCTGGTGTATGGGAAATCCATGAGATTCTCTCTACTTAATCCTCAGATTTCGAATTGAGAAAATGAAGTACAGTGGAATGTTTGTTTTTCTTCATCTATTGTTCGCTTATTGCTGTAAAGAAAGCTAAAGACGAGCACGAAAAGAAAAAGAAGAAGAAAAATATATATATATAAGAAAAACTTTATTTCTCCTGGCAGATAGGACGATTCTCTTTCTAGTTGCATCATTAACTTTAGACAGAGTATGGGAAATGCAGCGAAAATTTCATTTATAACGTTCCTCTACTGTAAATTTATAATATTTGTTAGAGAAATATTATTCTTTTGTGTTTTTATACGCTGGATAAATATCTCTCGAGATAACATTAACTTGGCCATAATAGGTCACTACTCTGCTAGTATGTAGCTGTTGTATGGCCACACAGCTTTGACATTTTCCTACTCCTTTGTTCCTATTTTTTTGGCAATAGAGAATTGGATACCGATAGTACAATAACAGATATATCTCTAGCGATAGCGTGGATATAAAATGGGTATATTGCGGTTAACATTGGCGCGAGAAAAATGCATCCCTGGCAGTTATCCTCTTTTATGCTTTTTTATATATAAAAAATACATGCGCTTTTTCGTACGTGTGTTTGTTCTGTTTGAAGATTTAACGTCATACAAGAAAGAATTCCATATAAAATTACATAATTGCTGAACTATATTAACGTATTTAATATCAGAATGCATAATGAAAAGGATTCCAATAATATCATTTGGAGAACCGTAAAGGAATGTCCAAGCTGTATGAAGATAAGAGGAATTTTCCAGTTTCAATAATAAAGATAAGAGGTTGATCGATACGAGTTATTTGTTTGACTGCGACCTTGCGTGGTAGATAGCAAAGTTAGTCTTTCATGTTGTTTGTTGACTTAAATCTTACATTTTCCCTCTCTCATAAGCATCTGTTTTCTAACAAAAATAGGATTACATCTCCGCTATTACTTACGAAATTTCAATAAATGTTAAGAGAATTTCTGAAGATTCTTTTGTTTTAATAATAATAATAATTATTATTATTTTTTTCAGAATAAAAAAAAAACATTTTAAAATTAATATGTATATATATATTTTTTTAGATGCATAAATCGTTAAGAAGCTTTATAATCAAAAATTCCTATATAAATGACTCGTATTTTAATGTCATATATTGATTTTTCCCCTCTACTCTACCAGGCTTAAAAACCAGAAAATCGAACATTTTTTTTTCAGATTTTTAAATGGACGTAACTTATTAAAATTGATGTTTTTAGTTTTCTTAACCGAGAAAAAGTGATTAAAGCTTAACTTTCTTCATCATAACCGCGTAAATTCTCTATAAAATTTACCTCGATATAACGCCCTCCTATATAACACCACCCTCGTCGACTCCTCATAGTTATTCAACAGAAATATCCTTCGTTATCTGAATTATCAAATGTAGGATTTTTTTAATCGCAAAGGACATTGTTATCACCAAAACCTTAAACTTGCGTATAATCTCGTTAATACGAATAATTTCCAGTGTTTGTGATTCTTCAGTTTAGCGCCCACTCGATTTACTTCCAATTTGGGAGTCGAACAATTGCTGGCGCAATATCGAGGTTTGACTGCATAATACGGTTAAATCACATTAAAACTTGTGGCGCAGAATGGCGAAATTTATAAATGAATTAAAAAGTATTAAAATTCGAATTGTTATTTTATAGAATTTTTAATAATTTTTATTCTTCCTTTTAAAGTATATATATATTAAAGGTAGATGTGGTGCTTTAGAAAATAGGAAGTAGTCCACTAGTGGAAACACCAGTTTTCTGTGGAGTTTGGTATTAGTGAAACTGTCAAAAACAGGGGAACAATATTTCTTATCTTACTTGAAGTGTACTGTGTAGAATAACGAAAGACTGACATGTGATTGATGATAGAACTCAAAGAAAACGGATTGAATATAACCAACGCATTTGGAGAAGAAGCACAGCCTAAATCTATATACAGAGGATGGATTCTAAGATTATACTTTGAATATTAAACAGCAGAGAATAAATGTTCCAATAAGGAATTTTTTACTCCACCTTTATTATTATTTAAATAGTCATTTTCTACTCCAGAGTTAGAGCGTTAAATAACTAAAAAACGTGAAGGAATTAAAGGGAAGAGGGAGAAAAAATGATCATTTATTTTATTTGTTAAATATTTAAGACCCCCCTTACAACTCGATTTTAATATTTATATACGAAATATAAGCGAGTTTATCCAATGTAGAAATCTAAAAATCTCTTATTTGCATATCTTGAGATGTGTAAATATTTGAAGACCTTCATCCTTTTCAAATTTATTTTATCTTAAAATAAATAAAGAAAATGATGCATGTTTAATCTCTCGACCTCTTAGGTGTGTGTATGCGATTATTGTTTGTTACAATGGTTCTATTATTCTTTATTTAATTTGTTTTTTCAGGTGTCATATGCCAGACCGAGCAGTGAAGCTATCAAGGGTGCCAATCTCTATGTTAGTGGGCTACCAAAGTCCATGACACAATTGGACTTGGAAGGTCTGTTTTCTCCATTTGGAAGGATAATTACATCTCGCATTTTGTGCGATAATATCACAGGTACTTATCCGAGAATAACGTTGTTCTTTTTTTTGTTTTTTTTTACGTGATTTTCTGTTAATTTAAGTTCTTTATCTTCATTTCTTTAATATATTTTTAATCGGATGTACATGTTATGTGTATAGATGACATGTACATCTCGATTGGAAGATAAAGATGCACATGTTTTCTAGGAATAAACATATGCAACTTTATAAAGCTAGAAATAAATTACGTATAAATATATTTATCTCTAGCAAAAATTTGACTTTTTTCCTTAGAGATTTTTAAGATGATTTTATTATTTTTTTCTCCCTTCTTCTTCTCCATTTTTTTTATTTTTGTTTTTTTTTTCATTTTCTACTGTACCGAAAACTATTTTATCCTCTTTTGCTGGAAAGGAAGATGAAATAGTTTAGGAGAAAAAATAAAGAACTATAAAACTATCAAAATAAATTTATAGTTTATGTTAAAAATTTCCTGTTTTTGAAAAGTTTTGTATTACCCATACCATGAAAAACAATAAAATAATATTTATCATCCTGAAGATTCTCTAGAAGAGTCTGGCATGTGATTGATGATATAACTGAAGGAAAGCTGATTGAATATACAGTTTAGATATGTTTGTATAGGAAAGGGGTGTTTGGCATTATCTCTAAGGCCAAACACTTTTTGGGAAGAAATGTTGTACATTAAAGTTTTTCAAACGGAAAACATTAAATCACTGAATTAATAACAGGTTATATATCATTTTTTTCTACTTAAAATTATTTTAGAAGCTCCTTGAACAAGAATGAAGAGATATAGATGCAATTCTTCAGCTCTAGAATGAATTTATAATAGAATTTATATGTATAAACTAACATAATCTTATGTAAAGCATTCGTGGGTCGAGCATTGTGGATGCGAATTCGTTGGGAGAATATGAATTGAGGTGTTAAGAATCAGTGTCTATATATTAAAAAAGTGTCAAAAAATTATAATTATTAAACATATTGTAAGTGGTTTTTTTTGTCTGCGTTTTATAAATAATAACGCGAAACAACAAATTACCGAAAGAAAAATTGCACCGAAAATTTGCTAACAATTTATATAACGATTCGTTAATTATCAATTAACACTAAAAATATGAAAACTCGATTCGAAGAATTTAAAAATTTTTCTTTTTAAGATTAATTAATTATCTACTCTACAGAAAAATTTTTAACTCGTTATAAATACAATTAAATGCCCGCAGTTATCTAGGTTCTGATAGGTGAAAAGGATGCGCCATTTGTATTCTTCTCTATGCAAATTCTTCTTACGTTTTTACATTTTTCTATAAGAAATTCTTGCAACGGTTTAGAATTTCGACGGAAATTTTCTAATTAGTTACAAACGCTTTTATAAATAAAATAAAGACCGAACTTATTATTCTCTAGCAAACCCCCTCAAGGTTAATTTAATTAACTGACACAATCCATAACAAACACATGATAAAAGGAAAGACGAGAAAAATTCTTGTTTGTGTTAGTCCATCATCCGATGAGGATTTCAATTATTGAAAATAGAAGATTCTTGATAGTATTACTGGCAGGAATTATATTTGGATAAAGAGAATTGGCACAAGGAAGATTAGTGATGCGTTGGATAAATTGATAAGAGAGATAGAGATGGATGCAGTAATGGGATGAAAATTGTGTTTTGATCTTAAATTCCCTTAAAAAAATTTATTAAACAAGCAGATAACGTACAGTACATTTAACCTTATTACTAATCACACTTATTAATAAAATAATAAATTCCCTATTCAAAATTTAATTTTTATATATTTTTCTATGCTCTTTCTTCGCTTCTAACCATTAAAGATATATGAATAAAAAATATATATATTTTTTATTTTGGATGAGATTTATGCATTCTTAATATGTTTTGAATTGAAAGTACATTAATCTCTTTTCAAACAATTTCAAATAATATTTTATCATAGAAACTTAAAAAATGGCACGCACGACCGGGCCATATAAAATATATTTTCTTTGGCATTAATAAAATTTTAAATCGTTCTAACTTTAAATATTTAATCAAATATCCAAAAAGTAGTTTGTATATTTTTATTTTATTTTATTTATTTATTTTTTATGCAGATAAATTTTAGAAATGAGATTCATTTCTTCGATTCTCGTTTAGTGAATTAAAAAAAATCAAGAATAAAAAAATTGTAATAAATGCATAAAATATGATCTTTTTATTCATCCAACTCATCTCCTGAGAAATTTATCGAACAAATTTTCTGCAGCAATTGAGCAATAAATAAAACCTTAATAAACCGAACTGTCACTTTAAGCCTGGTAAACATTATCTGAGTAACTAGAAAGCAGCAGAAGATACGTCAGTCTGTTCATCTGCAAATTTTATCCCAATGTCATTTGCCTTACGCTGTATTCTTTTCTATATTTTAATCGACTAATCTTTAAGTTACTTTTTTTAAAAAAATTTACTGATTACGTGCTAATTTTAATGAGAAAATAATTCCAGTTTTATGTTTAAAAATTCGACCACCCGATTGAATTTAAAGCCGCCTTGGTCGTACGAAAATTGTTCTACAAATTTTGTTTTATTTACTTAATTAACAAATATAATTTTCATCCGTTAAAATTACTTATGACTATTTAATTTTAATTAGGTTGATAATTTTTATTAATTTTTAAATGTTTTGATATTCCAATGGATGGAATGCCGATTTGTACGAGTATACATTTAATTAGAATTTGCATAAGAGAAATACACGAATTTTACGTATAAATTGTTAATTTTTATAATTATCTATCCCCATAAGCATATTTTTATTAAAGAAGAAAGGTTTAGGATTATTTTAAAGGAGTTTTAAGCACGAAACAATTTTTTATTTTGCTTACTTTATGCGACATTTTCCGTCGATGGAGGAATTTTAACAATAATTTTGTAATCTCGATTCCTCTCAGAATAAATGAAAGCAAAGATATATTTTTTAAAAAAGGAGAGCACATTTCCATTGAATAAAATTCGATAAATAGAGGAAGAACAAAATTTAAACAGGTGCGAAAAGTTTGAAATGATTGCGTTTCAAATTTCTTCCTACCATCTTTCAAATTTGATGCAATCTTAAAGCTGCTGAATTTCATGTAATTCCAGAACAATGTCTTCTCCTGTTTCTCTCCTTATTGCTATTTGATTTGAAATCAGTCTCTTCCTCTCCTAAGCAAAAATGATGTCAGGACGGATGATGGCTTCTCCTTTAAAATCTTCCCGAGATAATTTACTTTCTTTATAATTATTTCTATCATTTATTATTTTTTTTATTATTTTCCACGATTCATGTGGTTTAAATTAATTCAATAATTAATTATTTTAACAAAATCCTCCTCTCTAATGATAAATTAGATACAAACTAGACATCGTAAGATGTACTTTTGGTAGATGTTTTAAGATGCGAAATGAAGTTATATATATATATGTTTAATCTTACTGAAAGCTTTTAAGTATTTATAACTGAAGTGGCTTCAAAGTAAAAATGCCGAACATCACTCAAAATAGTTCATACATAAATTTTATATAAGACGTGCTGCTGGTGGCTTCGTTGCTTAAGCCACCCACACCAACGTTTCTTCGTCTCAAGTTTTCTAGATTTTATAAAAAATTGAATTATAATTAAACTTATATTATGTTCAATTAGGAATAAAACCGCTTTATTCAAGCATTAAATCGATAAAAATTGCTACAAATTTACTATTTTCCGGACTTTTTAGATGTATTTGCACTGATCTTACCTCCCTTCGAAGAATTCTCTAATATTGAATACAGTTTTAATGTACGTACTTTTATGATACTGAATAAAGATTTATTTATCAAGAAAATCGAACAGACTCAGCTTGTAAAATGTTCAGATTTTTGGATATTTGGTTTTAGTAAACGACGACGTCCGGTAAGTATGCTATCAAACAGTTTAAGTTAGTTTTTAAATATATCAGTTAGTTTATCAATTAAGCGAGTCTAACATCGCGAAACATCGCTCGATTCTTTGGCTTTATTGTCCATGGTTCTCTTAAATTTCGTTAATTAAAAACTATATATATTTAAGTGCTAAAAAATCTCCAAAATCAGGAGAAGTCCTCGAGGACAAAAGAGAAACACGGACGGATCAAAATTGAGAAATTTTTGGCTTAACGCAGAAGGTCTGTAAACGGAGATGGACCCCCTCTTCTAAACAAAACTAACAAAAACGGGCTAAGTCACTTAAATGATTAGTTATTGTGATTGTCTGTTATCATTTACAGAATCGGATTGTTCCCCCAACTCTTCTGCAGGTCTATCGAAGGGGGTCGGTTTCGTTCGGTTTGACCAGCGGATCGAGGCCGAAAGAGCTATCAAACATCTCCACAACACCATTCCTGAGGGTGCCACAGAGCCTATCACCGTCAAGTTCGCCAACAACCCGAGCAACAATACCAAAGCCATAGCACCATTGGCAGCGTATTTGTCACCTCAAAGGCGATTCCCTGGTCCCATTCACCATCCTGCAAACCGCTTCAGGTACATTCCACTCTCCCCCATATCAAGGTACGGGTCTTGTTATCATCGAAGTCTTATTCCAATTTCTTGACAAAAAAAAAGATGTTCAATGCTTCTTTGTTTGGTTCATTTGGGTTGGCTCTGTTTTTTTCTTGTTCTCTTTTTGTAACTAGGTTTTTATACGGTTATGGAAAATTTTAAATACTTAAAATATTCTTCTACATTTTCTATCGACAATTTTTTTATATGGAAGAGTCATATATTCTTGTAAGTATAAATTAAAGCAAATTTTTGTTTTCTTTGGATTAACACACACACGTATACACGCACCCCACACACACACCTACACACTCACACACACACTCACATACACTCTCACTCTACTTCTGTTTGGAGAACTTTTTTCTTTTATTATTTATCTGCACTCTTGTGTTGTTTTAATTTGTCCTTTCTCCTAATCTGTGTTATTTTTCCAAACCGCCATTCTTTAATTTCCATTCATTCAATTTTGTAAAATTGTCTTTCCTATCAACAGCCCTGTGGATTATTTACTTTAACTTCCCAGCCACCTGGACCTCCTATTTGATTTTACTTTTATCTATCATCTTGTTTTTCTTTTTTTTCTCTATTTTCTTTCTTCTCTTTCCTTTCAATTTTCTATTTGTTTAAAATTCTAGAAGTTGCGAAAATTATTTATATTCAATATAAATTTTTTTTTTCTGTTTCCTATTTGCGATTATGTTCTAACATTTTTTATATTATTAAAAATCCATAACGTTAGTGAGGTTTTATATTTTGCTAAGTTTTCTTTATGTTCCTTTATATCGTTTGCATTTTATATTATGTTCAATTATTTAAACATTTATTTTTCAATCTTTAATGGATTTGCAATGGCAAATTTATGTATACACATCGATTGTGTGCCGAATTTTTTATTCAGTTTGCATAAAAATTTGCATTTAATACACGAAAATTTGAAGTTAGAATGGCAAATTGTGTATATATGAAATTTGTTTATGCATTTCCAAGTGATATACTTGATTTAAAAATTTAAAATATTAATTAAATTAATTAATTCCTTAATTAAATTATTGTTAAATATGTTTTTAAAAATATTAAATTAATCATTGAAATGTAAAAGAAAATTTTAAACGTAATTGTAAATGTCGATTTTTATGAGTTAAACAGTAAAATTGAAAGTGTTGATGAAATGGAATTTTTAAAATAATGAGTGTTTTCCTGTGTTTAGGTACTCGCCCTTGGCTGGCGATCTTCTTGCCAATCCCCTACTCGCGGGAAATGCTATGAATGGCTCAGGATGGTGTATATTTGTCTACAATTTGGCACCGGATACTGAAGAGAATCTCTTGTGGCAACTCTTCGGACCATTTGGTGCTGTGCAGAGTGTCAAGGTTATTCGTGATCTTCAAACCAATAAATGCAAGGGATTTGGTTTTGTCACCATGACTAACTATGATGAAGCCGTTGTGGCCATCCAGAGTCTCAATGGATATACGCTGGGTAACCGGGTGCTCCAGGTCTCCTTCAAGACCAACAAGTGCAAATCATAAACGCGTAATTGGGAAAGGTCGATGCCTGATGGCTCCTCTACTTGGGAGGGGATAAAGGGAGGGGTGGGTAATAGGGTGGGGAGGGTGTAGGGGACAAAAATCGCCATGTTTTGGGGTCATAACGAAGAAGAGACATAAAGAAGAAGAGGAGGAGCGGGGTTGATGTCCTTTTTCTCTGCTTGATATTGGAATCTCCTCGCTCCTCAGGAAGTACATCTTGGATGATTTATGGATTGATAACATTCCCCTGCATCCAATAGGGGAAAAAACTGTCATAGGTGCTGTGGTCGACATGCCAAGTCCTCCAGTTGCCACTTCCTCAAGAAACCAAACAATCCATAAAATTATATACAGTATATGTGTGTGTGTGTATATAAGAAAAAAGGTGATCACAATTTTCTTTCTTAATGGGGAAAGAGATGGAACAAAGAATGATGTTAAGACGAAAAAAGGAAACTTGTTCCGTATTGAACTTTAAACCCGCCAGGCGGGTAAATATGTTGGATATGGGAAGCACTTCGGTGTCAACCGCGCGTCATTTATAATGTTTTTGGCAAGAAAAATATCCCTTCTACTTAATATCATTTTTTTCTCTCCGCCATAATAGAAAAGTTTAAGAAACAGCACTCCCTAGAAACAAAGGAATGGCAATGATTTCCCTTACCATCGTTACGATGTAACAGGAATCCGAGCACATTCTATTCAAATCACGCGAGATTCATGTGTACCCATTCACTCACAACATACATACACACACATCTGTCGATAAAACGAGTCCAGTCAAGCACATAAATCTTAAAGAGGAAAAAAATAAGATTAAAAAATGATAAAAAAATCAAGTTTATTGCAAATTTAATCCTATTCATCTTATTAAAATTATTATCTTAGAATTAAAAAAATTTAGATAGTGCCATATTTACTTAATTTATTATATAAGCAATTTAAGAAAAAAAAACAAGAAAATAATAACTTTATTTATTTGAGGATTTGACCTTAGGTCTTTCTCACTTTCGCGTCAATTCACTATTTATTTATTTGTAAATTATTATATTTAAATAATTGTGAGATATTGTAGATTGTCAGTTCGTCTCGTCACTTTGTCATTTATAATTATTTTAGTTATAGATTAACTAAATATATATAAGCTTCCACTTTTAATTTATTCGTACGCATGCACCTTACAATTTTTAATATATAAAAAAGAAAAATAATATTAATAATAATATTATTATGATTATAGGGGGGTTGTAAACGAATAAAATCATACATAATAATTCTAGGTGTAGATTATGGTGTTTCAGTTATTTTTAAGGATTTTTTTCCCTTTGTGTGTAGGGTAAAATACCGTCCAGTTTCGTTTGTCTTTCATTTTATTTATCGTTGGAGGATATGTGTACACGCACCACCCATTCGATGTATTTTGGGTTGTTTTTTTGAATTTCGTAAGCATGCGCACTTCCCCCCTCTCTCTCTTTCTCTCACATACACTTTCTATCTCTTTCACTTTCACTTTTACTCCAAAGCATTCCGCCTATTGATCCCAGCAACCTACCCACTCCTATAACCAAAAGTAAAAAATATATATATATATAAAAAAATAAATTCAAGAGTTAAAGAGCACCAGGAAAAAATGAAGGGCACTAGAGNTTTTTTCTTTATTTTTTAAATTCTAATGTAAAATGGATTTTTATGTGTATGATACAATACTTAGCCTTAACACAGAAGAGACTTCTTAAAAATTCTCCCCTATACTCACAAACAATCCTCATAATTCAATTGTGTTTATGAATTGTCCCAATTATGTAAATTAAGTATAAAAATAAAATAAAACTAATAAATTAAAATAAACCAAAGTCGCATAGAAACACGAAGCGAACATCTGGAGTATGATAGGAAACAGTGAGATTTAGGATACTACGGGGGTGCTCTTTCTCTTCCATTACCGAAGAGATATAATTAAAAATGCAACAAATATCTGTTGGTACATGTGTATTTACCAATTTAATTGTACATATTATAATAATAGCTTGATATGATATGAAAACGAACCCATTTCATACGAGAGCGCAGTTAAATTCCTGTGAATTTTACATATTATCATTAAATACAGTAAAAATTTCGATATAAAAAAAGCATATATATATACAATTGGGACAACGAAGCTATTGTTAAAAAAAATAGTAAATAAAACTTTTTAGAGAACATATATTTTCCGCCGGAGAATAGGATTTTTTTCTTCTAATTCTCCGATTTCTAGATCATTCCCATGTTTGTAAACACCTGCAAAAGGAAAATTAAAAAAAAATTATGGCTTGAAAAATAGGTAATATAAGTTTAAAAAAATAAAATAAAAAATAAACAACTTACGGGAAGAGTATATATACATATTATATATATATATATACATCATACATAATTGTGATTGATTAAATATTCGCGAATTTAACAGCCTAACCCACACAAACCGTTGCTTCCTTTAGCTTGAGGATAGATTTTTGAATGATGTGCAATATTGTGGATTGAAGGCTAATTATGTTGAAAGACACGAGATATTTAGATATAACTTTTGATCGAGTTTATATAAAATAATAAAAAAAATGGTCACAACGTCAGAAAGTGGTTTAAAAATATTCCATTTAAAAAAATAAAAATAAAAAAAAATATTTTATACATGTGCGCGTTGTAAAACATCCGTTTGCTTGGCGCTCAATGGGACACTATTTGTGGAAAAGGTGTATCGACAAAGAAATGTTTTTCTAGATCATCTGTGACGTTTCTTAAAAAAAAGAAAAAATATATAATAATAAGAATGATTCAGAATGAGATGTAGTTTATAATTTTGGTTGTTCAATAATTGTCCATATATATAAAGCAGTCAACGGGTGATTTCTTTTTTATGTTCATCTTAGCCGTTCTTTTGATCGGTCTACAAATGATTAGTGTCTCTAGAATTATTAAAAATCTGGGTTTACACCATCTATAATATTGGCTTAGATGGCGTATATCCAGAATGTTCTTCTACAGTTATTGTAGATTATAACCCCCTCTCGAATAGTTCATAACAGGTCACAATGTAGACCTACTCCATAAACCATCAACGGTGCATAAAATCATTCCATATTTCTCTTAATCCGGGGATTGTTTCTTTGTGATGTTTGAAAAAAAAATGAAAAAAAAGAAAAATCAACGGTTTAAAAAACTTTTCTGACGCAATAATCTGCTGTGTATTTACTGTTATCGCGATAAACATGCATATATATATCTATATGTATTAATTATATACGTATATATATATATACACATATATATTCATAAAGTAACACGGCAGCGATATTCTGGTGACACCGGATCCCCCAAAAGGATTTTGTTTATCATTTAAAAAAAGTATAAATATATATATATATATTGAAGATAAACCAGAATAGTTTGTGAAAATGAAACCCAAAGGACTATTTCTCTAGTTGGGATGTCCATGACGTTTATCGTTGCATATTTGAATGATGGTGTTTTAAGAAGAGAGTATGTAAGATTATTTAACAAAAATATAACTTAACACCGTGGTAGATTTTATTATAATTATCTTAGATACTGCAGAAATGCGGTAGTTGTGATTGACATTCCTTATATAGCTGTCTCTTAACACCAATTCGTTTTCAAATTTTTCAATTCTTATACTCGATTTTTGACTAGTCACCGAATCTCCAAAGAATAAAAAATATAATAAAATACTAAATGCAAATTAGTATTTTGTATGTTTAAGTGAAAAATATATATTATATATATATGTACGAAAAAAATAAATCGAGACAGAAACACTTACAATCCTGTTAACAGGTTATATTTTTCACTTTATTCTCAGAGCCGGCCATTCTTGTTAACAAAAATAAGAAAAAAACTATTAAGTAAATCCTCCCGTAAAACTCCTTCTTGTGGAAAAAAAACTGTCCCCAAGTCCCTCCTCTCCCTATATACATATATATATAATATCTCTCCTTTCTCTATCTTTTCCTCTTTACTTCCAATACCCCAGAAAGTAAGAAAAAATAAATTAATATCATTAATAATTATTAAAAATACCATCCTGCTTTAATTATTAAACAAAATATATATAATTATTATTATAGCTTAAACCTTATCGAATATTGATTAATTGTTAAGAAAAAAATTAATAATAAATTACCTTACCTTTAAATACTATTTCACGTAGTAATTTTAAGAAAAAAAAATGAAAAACGAAAAAAATAATAATAATAAAAAAAATAATTCTTGGGTCGGCATGTGAATAGTTGAAAATAATTATTAATAATTAAGTAGCTTTTTTCTCTTGTATCTAGAATCATAGTTTATGTGCTGTGCGTTGTGTGTTATTTTTGCCAAGTCAGGTGTATCATTGTAGAGTGTTCAGTTGTTTGGTGTTTGTTGGTATAGTTCATTCACTATATTTATATTTTGCTAACGTATTTACATTCCAGAGGAGTTTAAAAAATACATTTCCACTCTATAACAATCGTATGGCGAATATACAAAAATTGAAACATCCATAACACGTTAAAAATATTTCAAAAAAAAGAAAAAAAAATACCTTGTACTTCCCAGGAAAAACAAAAAAAATACAAAAAAAATATGCAAAAAACACTAAATTAGTGTTTAAAAATTACCGGCTCTACGTATTATTTTCTGTTTTCTTAGATAAGGATAAGTGGAGTAACCGTTTATATATTAGTTTCCCACGTATCCTTTTCTATATTGGGTGATTGGAAATCTTTTTTTATATATAGAAAATAATACTTAAAGTTGGTAAACGTGGCGGTAAAGACAATATCGGAACCCTTTTACAAATTAAAGACCAAAAAAATTGTATTATTATTATTATTATATTATGTATTTTAATGTTAATCACTACTGTGCAGCTAATGTCTGCATATGTCTGCTGCAGTTAAATTTGAATTGTTGTTATTCTGTTTTTGTTTCTTTGGCCCAAGATAATGTGATAAAATGATAATTATTGAAAATACTTGTGATATGTATAAG